GAGTAATGCTTTACTTATTCGGGGCCTCTTCCCTTTCCATATGAAGTTGGTGATTTGTTTCTCCATCTCATTAAATAATGCTGGTGGAATTTGGATCGGGATTGCCTTGTATGTGTAGATCGCTTCGGGTAGAACTGACATTTTCACAATGTTGAGTCTAGAAGCTAAAAAAATTTTCTTTTTTTTAATTTTCTCTTTTGAGGACGCACCAATATAGAAACCAAGTATCCTCACAAAAAAAAAAAAAGAATTTCAATGACTAAAAACAATAACGTTTTTGTTTGCCATTGAGTCGATTCCAACCCATAGCGACCCTACAGGACAAAGAAGAACTGGCCCATAGGGTTCCCTAGGCTGTAGTCTTTAAGGAAGCAGATTGCCAGGTCTTTCCCCCTCACAAAGAGCCACTGGGTGGGTTCAAACAACTGACTTTTTGGTTAGCAGCACAGTGCTTAACCATTGTGACACCAGGGCTCCTTAAAAAAAGTAATACATGTGCAAAATCAAAAGTCAAAAAGGTGAAAAATATGATAATCTCTATAAATTTTAAAAAAGCATTTGGTAAATTTTAAGTAGACTCAATAGTAACTAACAAAATGCATATACAGCAACATTCATGAAAAATAACCTTTGGTTAAAAGCCACTGTCTAGATTATTTTTTAACATGTTAAATTATAAACACAGCTTACAATGGAAATACTTAAGAGAAATCCTATTAAAGTCAATACCAGCACAAATGCCTGCTGACAAGTTATTTATTTTTAGCCATAGACTTATACAAGAAATCTGTATAAGAGTTATCCATGAAGAAAAGAGGAGGAAATAAGTATTATTATTTTAAATAAAATGATTATAGACTAGAAAACAAAAGAGATAAAAAAAATTAGAAAAAATAATACAAATTCAGCAAGGTGCTGGTTAAAAATCAATAGCTTTAGTGTGTGCCACTTACCCCGTTGCCATGGAGTCAATTCCAGCTCCTAGTCACCCTATAGGACAGAGCAGAACTGCCCCATAGGGTTTCCGAGGAGCAGCTGGTGAATTTGAACTGCCGACCTTTTGATTAGCAGCCAAGCTCTTAACCACTGCGCCACTAGGGCTCTGACGTGCCACTTAGGAAATGTAATAAAGGATTACTAGTCACAATACAATGAAGGGCAAACCACACCTAGAAAAAAAATGAAGCTTCGCTGACATCCAAGGGAAGAGAGCTTGAAATATAGTTATATGATATATAAATATATCAATTCTCCAAGGGTAAACAAATAAATTCAATGTAATCGCAAGCAAAATCTAAAAGGGGCATTTTATTAAAATGAATTTAGTAAAATGAATCTGAAGTTCACATTGACAAACACATGATACTAGTCTGAAAAAGGACAAGGTGAGTGAGAAATGAACGAGTCAATTATTAAAGTATATTTTGCCGCTACAGTGTTTCCAGGCCAAGAATTGACAGAACGAAGGAATTTCATAAAAATTACTAAATGGGCACAAAGAAATATATGAAAATTTTGTATATGGCATTTTAAAACAGGAAAGAAAAAGACAAGTAATTCAATAAATTACATTTCTAAAATCTTTGGGCCATTTGTCAAAATATAGATTTGATAATTACCTCACTTCTCGCACCAAAACATGTTCCAGATGGTTCAAAGATATTAATGGAAAAAACAAAGATAAAACGTTTGTAAAACTCTGAATTCATGAGTATATATAAAAAAATAACCTTGGAGTAAGGTACGGCTTCTCTCTTAAGACCTTCGGCAGCAGGTCATTCATGAAAAGAAAAATAAAATAATCTGAATGAAAAAAATATTAGGTATAAATTAAATAAACAGAAAATGGTTGCAGCATATGAAACTGACAATGGTTTCATGAGCTTGATACATGTAAAGTCTTACAAATTAGTATTTTAAAGTTCTGAAAAATCAATTCACAATGTAGGAAATACAGATGACTAATATATGATCTGATTATTTTTATTAGAAATTAAGAGAATACAAATTAAAATATGAGTAATGTATATTACTATATATAGCAATATATTTATATATTATATAAATATATATAACTAATATATAAATATATATGTGTAGGTATGTGTATATATACATATACGCATATATTGCTTAGGAGTCCCTGGATTAAGTGCTGAACTACAAACCTAAAGATTGTTGGTTCCAACCTGTCCAGAGGTATCTCAGAAGTAAGGCTTGTCGACCTACTTCCAAAACTCTATGTAAGAGCAGTTCTACCGTGCAACACACAGGATCGTCATGGAATTAATGGCAGCTAAAAACAACATATATATATATTTACCAGTGATTTGGGAAATGTTTCTGAGGATATATGAAGCTATCATACTCATTTTAAAGATATTTCACCAATTCCATTTCCAGGAATTTATTCTCCACTTCAAAGCATACATAACTGTGAAAGTATAGACAAAGATGTTCACTGAAATTTTTTTGTAATGGGGAACATTAGAAATAACCTAAAAATGTATTTTCAGTGAGCTTGTGTAAGTTGGGTTACAATAAAATAATACCAACTGTTGAAAATAAATGAAAAGATGGCCTTGACATACAATTAGGTAGGGTAAATTCAAATGATAAAGCAATATGTATATTAAATTTTATTTTTTAAATAATAAAATTGTTAATATCTGCATACAAATGTTAAGAAACATACACTTAAAATCTTAGCAGTTAATCTCTCTGGAAGATGAGACTTGTTATTTCATGTATCTCTGTGTTGTATAGATTGTATTTAGTTATTATAAATAGAAAATATAAACAGTTATAACACAATAACAAAATGTTGATACTAGAGCCTTCTCTAGGACACAGGAGTAGGACATATTCGAGTCTTGTTCTCTGTGCTAGAATAAGAAATGGTCTTTAAAAAAGCCAGTTACCGTGGAGTCGACTCCATGTCACGGTTACCCCTGTGTATCAGAGTAGAACTGCTCCATAGAAGTCTTCAATGGCTGATTTTTTGGAAGCAGATCACCTAGTCTTTCTTCCAGGTGCCTCTGGGTTGACTTGAAGCGTCAACCTCTGTGTTCGCAGCTGAAGAGTGTTAACATTTGAACCACCCAGGGCACCTGAAACGGACTTTATACTGATGTTACTCCCATTTTGCTTTCTCCCACTAGGGAAGGGTGAACATGGGAAACCGTACCCCCTCACTGAAGAGCACCATGACGACTCAGCGTACAGGGAGAATGGATTTAATATTTTCGTCAGCAACAATATCGCTCTAGAGAGGTCCCTGCCAGATATTCGCCATGCCAAGTGAGTATCAGCCTATGAGGAGTGATTTTCCTCTGTTGATTTTGTTTTATTGTTTTGAATATGCATCATTGTGAAACATGTAACCAAAAATTGCTCTCTAATAATTTTGAGGAAAAAAAAGTATGTTTTATAATCTTAAACATGTTCGATTTAAATTGGGATAACCATTAACATTCAAAAGAAGAAATAACTATTGACTCTTTAAAACTCGATTCCATAAACAATTTCTTCACTGAGTTGACTGTATTATCTCCATTTAAAATGAAATATTTTACAATAATGTTCATTCTGCTTACATTTGATCATGCAAATGGAGAAGCAGAAGTTTTTCTCTGGTTATTACTGCTACCAGAATTTTCTGCATATATATTCCTTTTGTGGACTTCATTCTCACACCAGCCATATTCGATGCCATGTTGTTACACAAAGAATGCCTAAAATGAATGCATCCATAATCAGAAGATAAATCGTGTGAGATTATATTAATCGTTGAAAAAACAATACCAGGATTTCTAATCATAATAAATGTATGTTATAAAATAATTAAAATTACTTGATAAATCTATTTTTAATGAAATACAATTGCCTGTGAAGTGAATATTTCAGAAGAAAATTATTAGAGTACTTAAAGTGTATATTTTAAACATTAAAATGAAGACTGAGACAGATCAATTTATTTAAATTTTTTATTATTTCCTCTGTAATATTGCAACATGCTTATTGATGATTATTTGATCAATTCTTTCTAATAATTAAGTTCAAGGCAATTCATGATATACTGAGTTTTTAAGCTGAATGAGCATTAGATTTACAGATTGCACTTAGGCCAAAACCACATTTTATAGCATCCATGTTGTTTCATTTTCCATAAAGAACGCACAAAACAAACGCATCTGTAATCCAAGGATGAACAGCTGAATGTGCAATTCCCTGTCATTTTATGAAGGGCTTGTGACTTGTCATTTTACAGGGAGTCCAGTGTTTTCATTGCTTCATAGCTAAATGTTATAAATGTAAACAACACTGCTACTCTCTATCTTCTTTCTGTCCACCCCTATGGATTCCCGACATTGCTTATGTACAGTATTTTTTTAATCTGTTAGGATTTTCTTGTTAGCATAAACTATGTCAAAACAACACCAAGAACATAGATTGTGGTCAGAATTTGAAACTGGGGGATTGCAGTTAATGTTTGATAAATCTGTTCCACTGTTGATGATACATTTACCACCTCCTCACCTCAATCTCCCTGTAGAAATACTAACATGAGAGAAAGAAATAGGAGAAAATAAACCGGGGCCAGGAATGCAAATAAGAACTTGTTGTTGTGTGCTGTCGAGTCGATTCTGACTCATAGCAACCCTGTAGGACAGAGTAGAACTGCCTCATAGGGTTTCCAAGGAGCGGCTGGTGGATTCGAACTATAGGAATCTAAATTAAACCAGTAAAGCATAGTAAGTGAAATTCTTAACTTTGTGCAAAGCTAATTAACCCTTTAAAAAAAAAAAAAAAACAGTAAATTATGGTTTGGGGAACTATTTTTCTAGTTGCCATATTGTGTCTTTATACGTTTACTTTAAAATAGAAAAGAATTACTTGTTTTCTCCTCTGGTTTTATATGAATTTGCATTCCCCAATACAGTTAAGCAGAGGATTAATGGGAAGAGTACATCCATTTTTTTCCCTAAACTGAATGTTTTTGGTCTAGGCTTCCAGATAGCAAAATTATCCCCAGGTTACCTGAAATTATTCACAATAATTCCCACTGACAGAGAACATTTCTAGTTATGAGAAATTGGAATAGCTAATCGCACAGCATCAAAGATGCATTAAGTTGCATTGTTGGCATAATAAATACGCTCAGAGAATAATTTCCATCGACCTCCTCCCCACCCCTACATTTCCAGTGTTTTAATCTGCATTGAAGTGGAAAGAATTGCAGGTGGAAACAGTGTAAAAACACTGATGTCAAAAGTAGGCTGATAGTTCCATTCTTCTCAGAGAGTATGTTTTTAGTGTAACCACCACCTTTTGCAAAAAGAAGATATTCTTAGGCAATAATGGGAATTACAATGGAAAAATGGAAAGAAAAAATATCTTGAAATTTTTAGTACAGTTACTGAGTTCAGAGAATGAGGAAAACATTACTTTAAATGTCAAGGAAGAAAAATGGCTAAATATAGTCCATGACCGTATCTTACTTTCTTAGTGAAGTTGGATATCTAACAGGACATACCATCGCGTACGTAGTGAAGTGATACCAAAACAAAACAAAGTAAACAAATAAAATCTTAACAGAGGGTTGAAGATGGGTGACAGGAAGTGTTAAGATGGAGACATTCCAGGAATGATTGTTTACCCTCGTTAATCCAGAATCTGAGCAATACAGGAAGAAAGAACTGTCGTTGTCTCTGATTTTGTTAGCCTGAAGAAAACCAAAAGCCAAAGAGGGTATTAACAGGGATCTCAGTGTTTAGAGTCCTATGCTTTTCACCTCATCCATGCTTCTCAAAATGCAGGTAAAAATAACTACAAGAACATGTAGGTCCATGTAAGTGGTCCTTGAAACCATATAATCAACATGACACATGTATCAGGATTATCAAATTAACTAGGTTTCAGGTAGTATACTGACATTATCTATGAAATAGTATTTGTGTGACATTTTATAATAAAGCAAAAGACTTGTAAAAATAACTTTCCATCTGCCATCAGCCAATTCCTGTCACAGATTCAGAGTGTGAAGAGGGAAGTGTGTCTTTTCCTTTGTCCTGGGATTCTGCAATGGAAAACAGTGGAGAATACTATATTGCAATGTTTCTTAGCTTGATCTTGTTTCCAAAACACATAATTGTACAATTTACCCTATTGTGTTACACTCTTGATCATCCCCTCTGTACCAGGTCATATTCTCATCGTTAACAAAAAAAAAAGTGGAGGTTCTAGATGTTTTGACATGCTTAGTGCACATTTTGGTTCACCTTAAAGAATATTCCCTCAGAAATCCCTATCCAGAAAGCATATATCTTGTTTGTTTTCCCTACCCTTTCTTCTTCATTAGCATAAGAAATGAACTACTTTCTTTTACTCTAGTATTTTATAGAGTCAGTAGCAGATTCTCACAAGTAGAATCCATACATAAAAGAAAACTAATTGGCCTGGGTAAAATGATTTGATGTGATTTGATCATTTTACTTTCATCTTAATAATAGATTCCAAGCTTTTCACTTATGTTTTTAAATCTTATATTTTTGTTTATTTAATTTTCTTTACATGTATCTTATCTTATATTTATATTTCTTATGTCTTTAGTGTCTCCCTATGGAGCAGTGGTTAACAGCTATGGCTGCGATGGCTGCTCACCAAAAGGTCAGCAGTTCAAACCCACCCGCCCCTCCTTGGAAACTCTACGAGACAGTTCTACTCTGTCCTGTAGGATCACTATGAATTGGAATCAACTTGATGACAACGGGTTTTTTTTCTTCTTTGATTATCTTGAAAATTACCTTTTAGTTTTTCATACCATCTCTTCTATGGTTTGGTATCATCAAATTTTCCACCTCTTCTTCTACCTTCATTACCCTGCTCTTATGGTTGGCTTTTGTACTTCTTTAAAGACACATTCTACATATTTTAAATACTCGTTCCCTTCTTCTATTACTACCAAAATCACGTCTGTATCTGTAGTAACTGGGCTCAGTCTGAGATGTGTCTTTAAAACTTCTCATCTTTATATTCTATTTAACACAGTGTTGAAAAAAATTTTTCTATAAGAGCTTCTACATCCTAAATGCCCAGTCAATGAATACTTTGCTGGTCTGGCTTCATTTTTATCACACGTAAATTCTCCCTACCTGCATATTGATTGATTGTGCAATGCCTTTGTATTCAGTCACCTACCTGGGATGCCACATTTTTGTACACTCTAGATCATCCTATTTTGACTTCTAGTTCGATAAGGAAAGATAAGACATTTATATGGAAGACAAAATACATATGAAATAGGGAAATGGAAAACCATGCTAAGATGTCCTACAAAGAAAAGAAGCTCTGATAGACTTATGTAAGGGTATATTCCTAGGAGGAGCAGATTGAAGAACTATTAAACAAGTATTGCCCCCTTAAACAAATATTGTACCCTGGGCATGAAGAAATTCCTCAACAGATACCACAAACGCTGCCAACAACAAGTTATCATTAATATGTATAAGAAGACACCTATGAATCAAGGAAATACATGAGATAGGACAAATCAGAGAAATAATAGGAGAGTGCAGATTGGCTTCGCAGAGGATTCGGTTAAATGTATCGTTGATATTACAACAATTTTTTTGGTTTTATAAAAGTAAAAATGCTCATCCAGATACATATTCATGCACATTCATACTGGGATATTTTTAAGTTACAATAGTTCTACTCGGAATTGTGGCTTTTTCTTTTCATTTCACAATTCTCTTCTCATTTTACTGATACTGCCAAGATAGGAATAGTTTCAGCTCAATGACTTTGACAATAAACAAAAATATTGAAATGTGGAGAGAAAATTCTGTGATAGCTCATCTACTGAGAAAATATAAGGGAATTTTTACAACCTCTTGGATCATTTGGTTGCTTTCTGTAACATTGCGGCTATAATCACAACCTTGCTCCCTGTCCAATTTCAGAACCAACTGAAAGGTTGTCTCAGAAAGGGTTGGAGACTAAAACATTAACTTTAATTTTTATAAGACCCTATTCATGGGCATAGTTTAGATCTGGGCCAAGTGGGATTCCTAATACTGAATTCCAGAATGAGGCGCATTCAGGCTTCAAGTCACAGACATCGCTGGACAACATAAGGGCAGCTGTAAAACTTGGGCAGAGTAAAATGCCTGCAAGCAGGTTCCAAAGCAGGAACGTGAAGGAGGAGCTGAGCCAAGCATGGTAAGCTCTAGAATCCAAACTTTCTTTCTTCTGGAAAGAATGTATGAGGAGATGGAGAGAGACCAGCAATGTTATTC